ATGCTGGCTGAGGAATTCTGGGAGTTGAAGTCCACAAGTCATAAAGTTGCCAAGGTTGGAGACCCCTGTTCTAGTCCAACCTCCTGCTCAGCCACGAGACCCCATACTATTTCAGAGAAGTAGTTTCCAGTCTATTTTTAAAAGCCTCCAGTGATGGGAGCACCCACATCTTCTGAAGACAAGCCATTCCTGGTTTATTGGTCTCACTATCAGGAAAGTTCTCCTTACTACTAGGTTGCTTCTCTCCTCGATTAGTTCCCATCCATTTCTTTTTGTCTTGCCTTCTGATGCTTTAGAAAATAGGCTGACCTTGTCTTCTTTGTGGCAGCCCCTCGAATATTGGAACACTGCTTTCATGTTGCCTCCCGTCCTTTTTTTCACAGGAGTAGATATACCCTGATATTCCTGCAACCGTTCTTCATCTCTTTTAGCCTCCAGCCCCCCTAATCATCTCTGTTGCTCTTTTCTGCACTCTTTCCAGAGTCTCAACTTTTTATTGTGGTGACAAAAACTGAATGCAGTACTCCAAGTGTCATCTTACCAAGGCCTTATAGCAGTACTAGCAGTTAGCAGTACTAACACGTCACATGATCTTGATTCTGTCCCTAGGATTGTATTGGGGTTTCTTTTGATGTATTTTTTGATTGTATTGGGTTTTTTTTACAAGCCTAGGATTATATTGGATTTTTGGGTAGCTGGCTACAGCAAAACTGCTAGCTCATATTTGACTGTCCACTAGAACTGCAAGATCCTTCTCGTAGTTACTACTATTGAGCCAGGTACCACCCATATACTATATCTGTGCATTTTGTTTTTCTTGCCTAAATGTAGAGTTTTACTTTTTTTCACCATTGAATGTCGTTTTGTTAGATAGGGCCCCGTGTTCAAGTCTGTTGAGATTCATCTGGATCTTGAGCCTATCATCTCGGGTGTTGACTATTCCTGCACCTTGGCGTCGCCTGCAAATTTGATGAGTTCCCCTTCTATTCCCTCATTTGTAGAAAAATTTAAGAAATCGTATATTCTAGTGCTAATAAGAAAGTATCAATCAGTTAGCAACTTACACAAATACGGAATAAACCTGTAGTGGTTTGATCTTTGTACTTGTAAGTCTGAAATCATACTTTTGAGTAGAGTTGAATTGGCATTCCAGAAAGAAAGAAAAGAAATTGGGCTTCGACTCAAATCCCAAAGAGTGGAATCCCAAATTTTATATAAAACATATTCCAAATATCTCGGAATAAGCACCATCACTTCCAAGTATTTTTTACAGAAGCAAAATTGGTATCCTGAATGAGAAACCATACAAAAATAGCTAAAGCTAAAGGGAGAATGTATTATTTTTCAAAAATTGGTAAATTTCAGTATATATCCTGCATACTTTCTTTTTCCTCCCTATCTAATAATTATGGAAGCTCCATCCAGATGCAGTGAAAGCCCACCAACTTAACTGCAAAACAAACTAAGACAAAATCATGGAAGAATAAGGCTCTCGAAACTATGCATGCTGGGCAGGTGTGTATCAGCCCAAGCTCAGAAACAAGTGAACTTTGAATTCCAGCTACTGAGATGCAACAAAACATGGAAGATTTGTCTTGGAACTCTTCCTTCCTTATGGGTGAAAGCAGTGGAGAAAAAAAACCCCAGAAACTCACCTTCGAGGGAACTGTAAAATATTAAGATTCCATTCTCTGGCTATTAACAGGTTTGACAATCGGTAAATGTCAAATGAATCAGACATCAAAGCAAAGACAGAAACCTCTGGTTTGCCAAGGATACGGATGTGGTCAATCTTCTGCAACCTTAAAGAGAAACATGTTAAAATACGTTTCATCTAATCTATGGTCAATGCTGTAATTTATGCTGTTTAAAGGCCACTATCCAATTTGTGATTTTAGCTGCTGTCGCTTTTTTGACCCAGGAATCAGTTATCCGTATTTCTTTCTTTACAAAATATGTATCTGGACCTGTATTCTGTGTATGTATCCACAGAAGAAAACAAGTGAACAAAACATCGTCCAAAGGAACATGAAATATTACTTCATAAAACAACTCGACTTTAAATGAAGAGTTTGCAACAAGAGGCCACGGTTAAGCGCAATGGCCTCATCTGAACAAAGAATGCGATCTCGTAATTTAATTCAAGGTGAATGGTCTTCCCAAAGTCACAAATTTCTTATTGTACAGCATGGTTTTAGAAGTTTTTTCTTTTGGTCTAACATAACATGTATGGGGAAAGCTGCTTTTTAAGCCCATTTTCATTATATCAGAAAAAAAGGGAGCAGTCGGCATGTGGACGGTTGATCCAGATATAATGTAATCTACCAGATCCCCTGCATGGATTGTTCCTGTGGCTACGTGGGACAGACAGGGAGGAAGCTAACCACCAGATTGCAAGAGCACAAGCGAGGAGGTCAGGCAAGGAGATCCAAACTCACTGGTAGTCTCACACTGCAATGAAACAAGAACCTGCACTCAATTTTGCAGCTACCAAGATTGTTGGACGAGCAGGCACAAAAACAGCCAGGGAAGTAACTGAAGCCTGGGAAACTGATCCCTCCTCAGTCAACAGGAGTCTGATTTGCCCCCGCCGCCGCCGCTTCTGCCCCCGCTGCCGCTGCCCCCGCTGCTGCTTCTGCCTTCCAGTCCTTGCCTCATCCAGCCGAGCCATTTGCAGGAGGAGAGGTAGGCGCGAGGCGAGAGAGCTTTCTCCCCCCCCCCTCAAAATTTGTCCGGAAAATAAACCGTGATAAAAAAACCATGATAAAAAATAAATAATTTTAATAAATAATTAATAATAAATAATAAAAACATCTCACCAACTTAATTTCCAAATAAATTTAATATGTTAACTACGTTTTCTATGGGTTTTTTTGGATGATGAGGTATCGTTACTGTTATTTTATTTTATGTGTGGCCCAAACCAAATTTTCATCTTCTAATGTGGCCCAGGGAAGGTGAAAGGTTGGACACCCCTGATCTAAAAAGACATACACAACAGGCACCATAAATACCACACGCAGAGAACAGCCAAAAAGCACACACTCTGCTACGAAGAAGTTTTTCTGAAGATGGGATCCAGCACGAATCCGAAAGGTCGGAAGACAAAACCTCTGATCCACGTGACCCACCCAAATCGGATCCTGACCCAGCTATGTTAAACTAGCACGGAGGGAAAAAAATATGGAACTCAAGAGTCCTCGCCCCTATTGCAAAGCAGCAGGTTTCTAGCTACATGTTCTGGAGTCTACTACAAAGAAAGAACAACAAGCATCACAAAGCAGCATTTCTTCATCTTATCCAAATAAGCCTTGAGGAACAGCAAGGTTGAATTGTAATTCAAAATGCTTAGAATCCCAAGAAACACAAGGGGTTAGGCATTCTTTATTTAAAACACAACTTGAAAGTTGTCTACACGCTCAGCATGACCCTTCAGATGTTTCCTGAACTACAAACACCTAATATCCTTCCTTACTGGCTGTGCTATCTGGAGCTGCTGGGAATTGGAAGTGTTCGTTCAATAGTATCTGGAATCTCCATCAAATCTCAAAAAAAAAAATGCACCCAGATGAAATCTCAACAGATTTCACTTTTTAAATTAACAATGACATCTACAGATGAGAGCCATTTTATTTCCAACAGAAGGTGAATCTCTGTAGAAAGTTGATTAAAAGATTCATCAAATATTGCTTCATGTGACTTTTGTAGTGATAACCATTCTAGGGTGATGGCAGTGACTCTTCCCTAAAAATGTTGTCTCTTGTCTGGTAAGGTAGAGTTATCTGATCACCCAACAGAACGGCGTAGTCACCAAAAGTGAATGCCACCATATTAGTCTCACAGTTTAGTTGAAGGTCAAAGATAAAGGTGTCCCTGAAGATTTTACTCCTATAGTCATTGCCAAGCACAGAGGGCAATGGTCATCTCCATTTCGAGGCCGTTGAGTCAGCACAGTTCAAAGATGTTTCCATGGCCATGTGGCCAGCATGATGTCATGGAACACTGTGACCTTCCCACCAAAGTGGTACCTATTTATATACTCGCATTTGCCTGCTTTCGAATTGCTAGGTTGGAGCGAGAACGGGAGCTCACTCGTCTTGCAGCACTTGGGTCTCAAACCTCGGCTGTTTGTCAGCTTTCCAGCCAACAAGCCCAGCGTCTTAAGCGCTGAGCCACCATGCCACGCAGTCCTGTCCAAATGTACCATATAATCCCTTAGCAGGCATAGTCAGTTGATATTTGGCGAAAAAGAAATTCCATGTTTAATTAAAATATTATTTCATGGAGCCTTGTTGAGAGATATTCCAAATTTCATCTTTCTTAATAAGAAAGATGTTTTGAAAAAAGGAGATGGAAGAAGGAAGCATGAAGATCTTCTGAATTGCACTTATCTAATTTCTACTATTTCGGTCATCTACTTCTTCTTTCTGCCAACCATCAACAGAGGGCCAGGTAAGAGCCATCTTTACCTATGCTCAAAAAAGGACTGATTTTTTCACTAATCTTCCCCCACCCCCCAAATCCAGTAGTTTAACGTTACCATTTTTCCTGTATAATTTTTATTCATGCATATCATCTTAACACACTGATAGCTAAGAACACGCTCCTATTTGATGCTTGCAAAGCGTACACGCTGGAGAGCAGCCAAAGAGTGCTGAAATAGGCACCCAGGGAAATGGAAGGGAAGCATAAAAGATGGAGAATAAATGGAAACCGTATACGCACTCAGATACGATGAACCGTGTCGTTGAGATGATCTTCCTGGTGGCTTCCACATAACCTTGTTCTCCTAAGTGCACCATGGTCGCCCAGCAAGCTGCGATGAGGCATCCGGGCCTGGAACCAGCAATAGTGGGCGAGGGGTAAACTCCTCCTTGCCAATCAGGAGCAATGAAGAACTGGTGATGCCGGTATTTCATATCGCTGTACATTACCACGGAGGAGCCCTTTGGAGCGTAGCCGTACTGCAAAGAAGAGGCCGATATTCAAGTTGCAAAATAATCCCCCCACCAAAATCGCCGTTGACAGGTTCAAGACCCTTGTACAAGAATTAGAAGATTTGCTAAGTTAAATCATTCTCTATTGATTTATCAAATAAGAGATGCGCTGTCATCACTGTGGGTGAAGCTTTACCACTGTTTTGTTTTTTTTAATTAAGAGGTATTCAGGATACAGTTATTTCATGAGTAAAGTCATGAGAACAAATTGTGTCTTGCTCCAAAGGTAGAGAATCCTGCATGCTCTCAATAGCAAACAAGTATTTGATGTTTAACAGGAATCGTTCTCATTGGTGTGGCGCTGCAATTTTAAACAAACTGCCACAATACATTTATTCTCTATTTTTTTTATTGTGTATTTCATATATTTTATTGTTTAAGCTGCCTGGGGTCGCCTCAAAGGTACTTTTTTTTCACCAAAAGGCAACTATATTTTCTTGGATATTTCTTTTGTTTGCTTGTTTGAAAACTTTTCATTTTTCATCCAAGAAGCTTCTTCATTTCTAACTAAAAGTTCTAACTGAAGAAGCTTCTTGGATTAGAAACCAAATATTTTCAAAGAAGGAAAAAAAAACAAGAAAGTCCAGTTCATCCTCATCCTCATCCTCATCCTCTTTTAACGACCCCATAATCCCTTGCAGGGTGGAATCTAGGCAACTGAATGGAGCGGAGTGTTTACTGGCCGGATGCCCTTTCTGTCGCCAATGCAGAGTTTTTGTTCAGCAGATTCATTCTCAGTCTGCCCTGAGAGAGAAATACCTGCCTCCACCTAGGATTGAACTCACAGCCTCCTGACTATAAGGCAAGAGTTCCACCTCTAGGCCACCATACCATTCACAAGAAAGTCCAGTTGCCTTTGGAAAATTTACCTTTGGGACAACTGTGCCCTGGATGATTGAGAATCTCCATAGATATTCTGCCTAAAGCAGGGGTCTTCAAACTCGACAGTTTGAAGACTTGTGGACTTCAGCTCCCAGAATTCCTCCTCCAGTCATGTTAGCTGGGGAATTCTGGGAGTTGAAGTCCACAAGTCTTAACACTTGCCCAGTTTGAAGACCCTTGGCCTAGAGTCACATAAAAGTGAGATTGGATGCCTATATAAATCAAATGAAGAAACAAATAAAATGTTTTAATGATACGGATTTCAAATCAAACATTGATTGTCAATGCACAATATGTCTACAATGACATTGAAAACAACTGAATCTAATTTTAAAAAATCTAAGCTGGAAACAATTTAGAAGAAATATGCCTGACCCAGCGTAGCAGAGTTTCAAAGCAACTCCCACCAGAAGCTCATAGAAATCTTCCTTGGCTCACCTTATGCGTATCTGCAGAAATGCTCGTGACCCCTTTCACTCGGAAATCAAAGCACTGCTGTAAAGGAAACCCAGCCTTCTCCATGAAGACAATGAGAAAGCCTCCCAGGCAGGCATCCACATGGAAGGGAATATCGTATTTCAGGGCAAGCTGCATCAAGACAGGAGAAGAACTTAAAAGTCATTTTCTTCTTAGGTCGCCAAAGTGAACTACTAGTAGAGCTTGGAACTTAATAGACACATTCCTTATCGTGAGTCCCAAGAGGATGCTGCCAGGTTCATAAGAATGACAAATGGTCATAAGTCACTTCTTTCACTGTAACTTTGAATGATCACTAAATGAATGGTAGTAAGTCAGAATATTACCTGTATTTAGGGAAGTTAAGGTACTCTCTTTTAAAAAAAAAAAAAACAATTCAATGCCATCAGCTTAAAGGGCTCGGACTTTTGGCTGTGGCTAACAGCTCATCCTGGTGTTAATTACCAAAGTGATACAGATACAGATTAACGAAGTTGGAAGGAACCTTGTAGGTCATTTAGTCCAACCCCCATCCACCCACCCAAGCAGACTCTATACTGTTTCTGACAGGTGGCAGTCCAGTCTTTTCTTGAAGGCTTCCAGTGATGAAGCTCCCACAACTTCCGAAGGCAACTTCTGTTCCACTGGTTGATTGCTCTCACTGTCAGAAAGTTTCTCCTTATTTCCAGGTTAAATCTCTCTTTGTTCAGTTTCCATCCATTATTCCTTGTCTGGCCTTCAGGTGCTTTGGAAAATAACTTGACCCCTTCCTCTCTATAGCAGCCCCTCAAATATTGTTACACTGCTATCATGTCTCCCCTGGTCCTTCTCTTCACTAGACTAGCCATGCCCAGTTTTAAAGTAAAATATTCTTTCGTGTGAATAAAGCCATTTACCAGCAGATGTACATTAACAAACCATTCCTTTAAATTTGGGGAAAAGTAAAAAAAGGACACTTTTCTCATACCTAATTTTTTCATGGTTATTTTCAGTAGCAAAACCCTTGCTACTTGCTACTTCAACTCAACATCCACCATATGAAATGCATCAATGCAGTGTATTGACTAGCCAATTAACCACACCAAATATATGGCATACAGGATGCAGTATGAAGCTGCTCTAGACCCCTGGGAGTAGCTAGTGTGGATCTTTGGAAAAAAGTCTGTCCTGAACTAGAAAAAATTCCAACTTGAATTTTGTACGTATATACAGTTACGAATAAGTTGTGGTCTTTCTTCTAAAATTCAGGCTGATCCCCAATTCCTGGATAGGTCTGGAATCCAAACTCAAATAATTGATGGGGATCCCTTTCATTAGCAGATCATAAATCCAAATGACAAAGCAAAAAAAAAAAAGATACCTGGCACACAAATGTGTACGTCCAAACTTTCTTTTTAGAAGCATGCATTCTCATAGACCAGTAGTGGCTATCCTTTTTGGGCTCCTGTTCCCAAAATTGTGAGCACGCCAGCACCCAGAATGCAATGTGTGGCACCCCTCCCCACGGCCCCTGTGCATGCCCACGCAATCCCCACCCCCTTACCTGCACTGTGCCTCACAGCTGATTTTTCGGCTGGTTTGAGGCCTTTTCAACCTCCCAGAAGCTTGAGAAAAGCCACTGCCAGGCTTCTCAGGCTGAATTATAGGCCCATTTCGTCACTTCCGGTATTACAGGAAGTGACGAAACGGGCCTACCATTTGGTCTGAGAGCCTTGCAGAGGCTTTTTCCAAACCTCTGGGAGGCCGAAAAAAGCCTCAAACCAACCAAACTAAAATCAGCTGTGAGGCACAGGCATTCACAGTGAGGTAAGTTTGCCTGCAGCTCACGTGCCAGCACAAATGGCTCTGCGTGCCACTTGTGGCACACATGCCATAGGTTCACCATCACGGTCATAGACAATTACAGTAATGCAATGACAACCAGAATTGGTACTTAATCTCTTTAAGTCCGCACAGATGAACATCCCTTCAGTAATTTAGTTGCTGCCCTATAACTGGGGAACATTTTTTGGAAATCAACAGTAAACAGCCAAGCTACAGCAAAATTAACATAGCAGGGCACAAAAGCCACAAAACAGTGATGCCCAAATACCTGGCGGGTAAGTTCAAATACCTACAGGTAATTCTCAACTCACAGCCATTTGTCTGGTGACTGTCTGAAGTTACAATGGCACTGGAAAAATGAGTTAGGACCAGTTTTCACAGTGGGGACTGTTGCAGCATCCCCATGGCCATGTGATCAAAATTCGGGCACTTGGCAAGTGGCATGTATTTATGACAGCTGCAAATGAGCTGCAGTGGCGCAGTGCTTAGAGTGCAGTACTGCAGGCTACTTCCACTGATGGCTGCCTGCCTGAAATTTGGCAGTTGAAATCCCACCAGGCTCAAGGTTGACTCAGCCTTCCATCCTTCCGAGGTCGGTAAAATGAGGATCCAGATTGTTGAGGGCAATATGCTGACTCTGTAAACTGCTCAGAGAGGGCTGTAAAGCACTGTAAAGTGGTACATAAGTCTAAGTGCAGTTGCTATTGTCCTGGGATCGTGTCATTACCATTTATAACTTTCCCAGCTGGTTTTGATAAGCAAAGTCAGTGGGGGAAGCCAGATTCGATTAACGGCTCCATAATTCACTGAACAATTATAGTGATTTACTTAACAATTGTGGCAAAAGAAAAGGCTGTAAACAACTGTCGTGCTTAGCAACAGAAATTGTGCTCGGAATTGCAACATCTTTGTTATCAATGCAAAAATATTACCTTCGCTACTTCCTCAATGGGGTCAATACTTCCATGAGGAAATTGTGGGGCCGAACAGACCAACATGGCTGTATTCTTGGTAATGGCTTTCTTCATTGCCTAAAAAAATTAGAACAAAGTCATTAGGAATCCATAAAACCCTGTGTACAAATCAAAGGATTGAAAGTGAACCATCTGAAGAACTCTTTGTATTAATTTACTTCCTCCCACCCACCAGCCTCTCTCAACGATTCCATCATTCTGTTCAATTCAAAATATATTGGAAACATCTGGAAAGGCCAGGAGAGTACCTTCACATCCACCTGCATCAATTCAGTCAATGGAAGACGCACAATCTTCATCCTGAAATAATGGGCAGCCTTGTCAAATGCTGCATGGGCACTTACTGGCACCAACCTAAAAGACAAACCAACACCGAAAATAATACATTGGAGGAAAAATTGGCAGCACACCAGACCAAACTCCTTTCCTTTCTTTTCTGGACAAAAATACTGGTAGAAATGAGACTAATGGGGAAGAGGAAAATCTAAATAAAAAGGCATACCTCCCACAGACCAAACATCCTAAGTTAAATCTACCTTTAGTCTTTAAGCTACATCTTTAATAATATTATTGATGGAAGCAACACTTTTCCCAATACGTTCCCCTCAGTCTGTATTGGATAATAATGCCCCTTATATAGATGGACAGATTATCTACCTAGAATCTCTAATCTGTGCTCTCCAAGCAAAAATTAGGTGCCCAATCCAGCCATTTATTGAGTTGCCGTGTTACTGGCTTCCACTACCACAAAGATCCTACAGGAAAAAGGCAGTATGGACAACTGTGGGATCTGGCAGGGTGAGAGCTGTGGACCATAAACGCAAAGTTTTGCTGTGTCCCAGCATAACAGATACAGTGTCCTTGCTGACCTTAATAGGGACACTAAAGTGACAGGTCAAGGTAGTTGTGATAATGATAACTCAAGTAAGCCAGGGATCATGGTCCTAGAAGAAGAAGTTACTTTGAAAAGGAGAAAGTGTGAATCAGGTATTACGCATCAGTCACACAAGAAGAGCAAGGCATTCCAAAAAGAGAAGCCATCTTCTGGTTGGGGACTCGATTGTAAGGGATGTAAATTTAGGAAAGGATACTGAGGTTTTGAAAGAGGTCAGGTGTCTACCAGGTGCTACTGCCAGCAGATACAAGAAGATTATTCTTAAGATAGTCAATAATGCCAGCAAGGACTGTGATGTTGATGCTATTATACATCTTGGTACAAATGATATGTCCCAGAAAGATACACTTTCTGTTCAGAAAGACTTCCAGAGCTTGGGGTATGAACTTAGTAATATGGGTTGTAGGCTTATCTTTTCAGAGGTTCTACCAGTATACAAGGAACAAAAAGGGAAAGGGCAGCATGTAGAGTTTAATGTGTGGCTAAAGGAATGGTGTAAAAGGGAAGGCTTTGGTTTTATGAGTCATGATGTCTGCAGCTGGTCCAATGAAAAAACTGTACAAAAGAGATGTTTTGCACCCATCAAAGAAAGGGACTGAGTTACTTGGCATTAAATTCACAGATTTCCTGGATAAACATTTAAACTGAACAGCAGGAATAGAGAATTAATGGATTCAGAACATTTCTGTCCCCAGCAACCTAAAACTAATAAGGATACCAGTGCATGCAAAATAGATGTTTGTGCAGGTAAGATTATCAACCTTGATGCCAACTTGTATTTAATAGTGAGTGCCATGCCAAGTTCATTAATCAAACAGGTAGCAAGAAAGTAGGGGCAGGAAGGCACAACACAGGTTATGGAGACAGTAAACACAGTGTCAGACATAAAGATCTCAGGTACCTATATACAAATGCACAAAGTCTGGGGAACAAACAGGGTGAACTCGAACTACGAATGCATGAAGGTAAATATGATATAGTTGGAATAACAGAAACTTGGTAGGATGAAACCCATGACTGGAACATATTGATAGAAGGATACAAACTATTCAAAAAAACCAGATCCCATAAAAGAGGAGGTAAAGTTGCACTGTATGTAAAGGACCACAGAGAAGAGCAACCAGGATGATTAGGGGACTGGAGGCTAAAACATACAACTAACAGTTGCAGGAACTGGGCCTGGCTAGTCTAGTGAAGAGAAGGACCAGGGGAGACATGATAGAGATCTTCCAATATTTGAGGGGCTGCCACAGAGAGGAAGGGGTCAAGCTATTTTCTAAAACACCCGAAGGCCAGACAAGGAATAATGGGTGGAAACTGAACAAGGAGAGATTTAACCTGGGAATAAGGATAAACTTTCTGACAGTGAGAACCATCAACCAATGGGACAGAAGTTGCCCTCAGAAGTTGTGGGAGCGCCGTCATTTGAGACTTTCAAGAAGAGATTGGACTGGCATTTGTCAGAAATGGTGTAGGGTCTCCCTATACTGGGCGGGGGGTTGGACTAGATGACCTACAAGGTCCCTTCCAACTCTGATTATCTGTTATCCTCAGCTTTCTGGCATTCTAAAACGCTGCACATTTCACCCTGCCCATTTGCAGCAAAAACGAGAATTTTCTCATTCAGGATTTCCTAGCAAGAGTTTGCTAACTGAAATGTAAATTTACTAGGTTTGCCAACATTAAAATTTGATATTTAAATTGTTATAGCAATGGGGGAAGTTATTTTCTTTTTCTTATTGTATTCTTTTTCTTCCTATTCTTCATTCTATTTGTTCTTTTTTCCCCAAAAAAGACATTGGATCCAAAGAACTTCATAATTACTGTGTTTCCCCGAAAATAAGACCTGGTGTTATATTTTCGGGAGCCTCCAAAATAAGCATGAGAGCTTATTTTCAAAGACACACAACTGCAGGGTGATCAGCTCAGACGGGCGCTTGGCTCCCCAGCACATGCACAAGAGGTGAGTCCATGCAGTGCAGGTGAGTCCAAGCAGCAGACAGACACGGGGGGGGAGGGGGAGGCAGCTGATCTGGACGTGTTGCAGGAAAGCCGAGAGTCAGCAGCTCGTCTTCGCACGGTGGCAATGGCAGCAGACGGAGGTAGAGGTGAGGGGTGGGAAGTAGGCTGCCTCCTGCTGTCATCCACCCACTCTATCCCACTGACTCCTGGCTTTCCCACAGCCCACAGGGCATGTCCAGAGTGCCTGCCTCCCCCCCGCCCACTCATGACTCTGCCTCCATCTGCTGCTTCGACAGGTAATCAATTCACCTGCGCTGCATAGGCTGTGGCTGCTGTCGAACACCATCGACCCACGCACGCTCACCACCTTCTGTGCTAGCCATGCCCACACCTTCACCTAGGGCTTATTTTGGAGGTAGGGCTTATATTAGCCACATGCTTAAAAATCAGGCTAGGGCTCATTTTCGAGGTAAGTCCTCTTTTTCAGGGAAACACAGTAGTTCACTGGATTGAGATTCACAAGACAGTTGTCTTCAGAGAAGTAGAAACCAACTTTGAAAATCAAGTGTTTCCAAAGCAGCACACAATACTTTATAAATAGCAAAATTATCTCCTTTTCAAAGGCACACGAAGCAGTTCTTTAGATTTATAGCAACTGCCTCAAAGTGTCCATCTGAAATTATTTTTATGAAAGTACACTAATGAAATTTTAAGAGCCAGATTCACAGTGACAGAGAAAAAATGGAAAAGGATTTAGTATCTGCTTAGAGTCATGGACTCCTCACTTCCCTCTTCTTGCACATTACTGCAAGAAGACAGGAATGCTTTCACTTCTCTATAGCTCAGGGTACTTTCCAATCTTAAATTGTCACTAAACGTAATGATGGTTTCAGGCAAATTAGCCTCATAATCTATGCCTTCCAATTGGCTTGTTTTAAACTCTTGGTTATAATAATTCGTTTCTGTTTCTGTCTTTTTGAGGTCAAGCCAGAAAAAAGAGCAAGGGAATTACTTAAAAATCAAACTAGTTCCCATCATAATAAACCCACTGTGATGGCCAGAGAGACAAGAGTTACATACATTTCTGGATATTTTATCCCTTTTTCATAAGCCAAATCTCTGTAGGCTTTACAGACCAGCAGGATGCTCTCTGTTCCTCCAGATGTCATCTATAACAAAAGAAATAAAAATACATCAGATAGCCAAATGACCATGGGAAAGCCATAATAGAATACTTAGTTAATCTCTGTTTTAACAAAACTTTTAAAATTATTTTTTTTAAAAAACATAAACTTAAAAAAAACTTTGAAAAAATAAAACTGATCGACACAAGATTGGATCCTGCAACATTAACCTGGGATACATATATTTGCCTTCATTCATAAAACCTTCTCACTGATGTTTCTCACATTGGACTTCAATTCCCAGCATGCTGGCTAGGGAATTCTGAAAACTGGAAGTCCACACTCCTTAAAGTTGCCAAATTCTTCTAACTAAGTAGTAAGCACCAGTGTAGAGTTATCTATGGAAATCTTTGGTTTTACATGCTACAGCAATCCTAATAAATCTCAACCAATGGTCTCTTGTGTCCTAAGATCTCTTCCAATTCAGACTGAAGATGCATTTAAATACCAGGTAACAAACATTTAAAGCCAAGTTTTGTTCTTGTTGCTGGACTGATTCAATAGACAAATATTGAGAGCCAGTGAATTGCAGTAACTAAGGAATTGGACTGGCATTTAAGAGCCTCGGTTTTAACGACACTATCGGCCATTCTGCCTCACAGGGCTGTTGATTTTGAAGGAAAAATAAAAAACAGAAAGTGTTACTTGTACGACCCTGAACTCCGGAAAAAATGAATGGATGAGTAGGCATAATAATCAAGACAATATTACAGCTATCTGGTTTAGATATCTGGGCAAAGGGCACAACTGGATATTTTAAATCTCAGAATATTCACCTTAAGTCATTACTGAACGAGGAAGGAAAGGCCTTTGGCGTTATTTTATTAAAGCATCTGAATTTTTTTTTAAACCTCCTCCGTTGCTGGGCAACAAGGTAGGCACCTTATTAGGCCAAGGAAATTGAGGCTCAGTATAAAACAGGAGTCAAGACTTTTTCTAATGGTAAAAACCTTTTGTTTTCCAAATGACTTGTCACCTACTTGGGAGCATATGAATCATTCTCACAAGACATTTTTGCTGATTATTGAAGGACACTGGACATCCAGCCAATGCCGGTTGACTCATGAGTAGCTTACAGTTTTTTTCAAACACAGATGTCTGATTCTTTCAACTAATACCCAGACTAAAAGGAAAATCCAACGTATAAGCAGAAAAGACAGACAGGGGAAGTTGCTTCAACACAGCACATCAAAAACCAGTGAGAAACCTGAAGAGAAGAGTGATAAATAGCAAGTCTGTCTTAAAACTGAATGGGGAACATGGTACTGCATATTCTGAAAAAGAGGAATAAAGAGACATAGAGAACAAAACTCCCTTTTTTGTCTCTTTTCTCTCTCTTTCTCTGGCTGGGTTACATTCGACATCATACACAAAATCCATGAACCTTACTTTGTTTTTTCCCACTGGCAGTACCAATTTCCAATTCTTGGGCACTCTAACATTGTATTAATTAATCTGCTACTACTGCAACTATCGGGAACAAATCATGAAACTTTCTCAAGAGTTTTGAAGCTTTCTTATATTGATCCATTTGCATAAATTTTCATAAATAATTTTAGGAAGTTTTATTCCCCATGAAAATCACACTATTTTGTTCCCCTCTTTCATTTGGGGGGGGTGGGGGGGTGTTGAAACAAGACAATAACATGTCATTCCCAATCACTTATAATCTTGCACAAATATGTTTTGATGTTACCTAACTCATTGTCAGCAGAAGAATCCCAACCATTGTGAAAATACTGACAGAAAACAATAAGTTGCTAAAGTCAGCATCCCGTTAACCCAGTGCTGACTTTCTTCTCCTAACAATGGAGTGAAGTGTTGGATCATTACAGTATTGCGTGCTTGTTGAAAGATAAAGGCAGGCTTTCTTTAAAAGGAGAAAAAAAATACAAGGCATTTCCCTCCTACAGCACAGTTAGCATTTCATCATGTACAATGAAATACTGCTTTGTTGGGTTTAAGAAAACAACTTGATCTGTAATCTTTTATAGCAGCCTTTTCCAGAGGGCCTCCTCAGATGATCGGTACTATCGTTCCCATAAACCCCGCTGGACATAACTGATGACTTATGGTAGAACTTACCTTTGTTGGAGCAGAACCCATGTGTTAAGGTATTGAGATTTAAAAGCTGACCAGCTGCTATAAGGCTGATGCAATAAGGATGAATCAGCAACGGTATTGGCATTTTATGTATGGATCCACAGAGGTTTTACCACTTTAAGAGGTGTTTATATAAGGCAGCCATTAGAGGTCGTATTTCTCTCTCCTTGTGTCCTGTCTTCATTGCAGAGTTTTCCATACAGAGTTAAAAAGATTGATTGCTTTTCAGGTATTTACCTACCACATATATATCTGTATATGTCTTGTATATAAACCACTGTTAATGTCTAAGCCTCTGTGTGCTGTGTTTTGCTCCTGGGTTGTCTCACGATAGTAGTGACGCTGCAAATGCTCTGACACCTTGTTAGAAGAAATTCGTCACAAAGCATAAGCTGTGGTTTTAGACCACAACTCCAGGTATTTTGAGCCACTACCCAAGACATGTTCTTGTATAAACATAGAATTGAAAATAGGGAAAAGTCAAGTTCAAGAGCCACTGGCAGGGGGAAAACACTGCATCTCTTTCATTGACAAGTTGACTCAGCCTTCCAAACTCCCAAGGTCAGTAAAATAAGGACCCAGCTTGCTGAGGGCAATATGCTGACTCTGTAAACCCCTTAGAGAGGGCTTTAAGGCACTGTGAAGCAGTATATTCAGTAAGTCTAAGTGCAATTACTATTTCTTTCCTCAGCATTATTCTTGGTCAGATTATTTTGAATTCTTTTTTTACGTTACTACCCAGCTAGGAAGATGAGATAATGGAAGATTGAACAATAAAGAGAAAAAAGACAATGAAAAGAAGAGAAGTTGATGGACTGACTTTTTAGCTCATTTTGGTGAAAATCAATTTGGGAAGAGGTGAGTACAGAACAATGGCAAGTGGAGACAGTGAAAAGCAAAAGGTGAGTGTTCATGTGGGAGGTGCTGCAAGGACCAAGACAAATGGAGTTGACCTTGACCAACAAAAGTTTGGGCAACAGCATTTGGGCTATAAGGAACCATTATGTATGTTATTTTCTACTCTAAAAGATCAACAGTATAGCCTTCTGGAAATCAAGAACAAGTATATTTCCTGAGAACAGGAAGAAATGATAAACTAGAAAGCTGGTTTGACTAGAGTAGAGAGCCATGTCCTATACTTTCACTTCTGCAGTGAGTTAGCTCTGCTCTCAGATATACAACTCAGTGGAGTCTTCTCTTCTACAAGCAAAAATTATAAGCAGCTGCCCTTGCACTTATGAAAACCAATATCTGAAATCAGATAACTGCAGTATCAGCATGTAAGTCTCCTGAAGTCTTACATGTTTATCTTTATCCTATGATTTATTGATTTTATTGCAATTGCTTTGTTTGATAGTTGTGAGCTGTCCAGTCACTGTGTCAGGGGAAGTTCAATAACTTATATAATATTATAATAATTATGGCACATGGATGACTACAGTACAGATATGGTATACCAACATCATAAAGTAAGTTTCTGATCTGATCTTTTCATTAAAAATGCATGTTCCTTTTGGCACTGACAAGCTTTTATTTTTTAGTCACTATTTTGCTTACTCCAAGGTATTTTACATTGAAACTATATGTAGATTATCTGTGGGATGGGAATATGAATGAGGGCTCTACTGGGACAGAATCTTCTTAATCTTTGCCTGCTCACTCTCAATCTGGGTTCATTTATGAAGATGAAAGGACAAAGAAATTCAACCAGTGAAGAGTTTGCTTGCAAGATGTTGTTAATAATAATACAGATATAGCATCTCTTGGGTTCCTTGTTACATAGTGCTCTTTTAGATTTAATTGGTTTCAGAATCTTGAGATAACCATTGCAATAATAAAATATTATAAAACAAAGGAATGCTGTACTGAGAAGTTTGACCAAATTTGAAAACCCTTTAACATGCAATAAAGATCATTTGTTAGGCAAGATTTATACACCTCAAATGAAGAATCCGAACAAGTCAACGACTGTATGATTAAACTGATTCAGAATACAATGCATCCATGGGAATTTCAACGGAAGAATATCATAATCATTTTGAACCCTATATTTTAAATTATATGATTTGGTATCGTGGTTAAGGCCTCTGTCTAAAAACCAGGAAACTATGAGTTTAGTCCTGCCTTAGACCAAAACCAGTTGATTGACCTTGGGCCAGACACTTTCTCTCAGCCCTAGGAAGGAGGCAAGGACAAACCACTTCTGAAAACACCGGCAAAGAAACATCAGCTGCCAGTTCTATCCAGAAAGCACACACACCCTGAAAAAAAAAAGATCTAACTAGGTCAACAATACACAACTTGGAAGAGACAACAAACAACATTCCCGCATATCCACAGGAATCAAGTTACCATTACGTTTTGGCATTCCTTTTGCCAATTCTTTAGTTGCAGCAATACAGTTTGCATGGAAATATGGTGCACAACCAGTTTGTTAGAGAATGTTTCCAAACGCAGGTTTCTGTAATGCCTAACAGGACAGTCACATAGCTAAACCAACTCAGGATACAAAAGCCAGAATTTTTTGAGGATGCTATGAAAACAAATCCTGGAAAATATGCTTGACATGTAACTGTAAATAAAAGCTGTAGCTGCCTTAAAGATAAATGGACAAGGCTACTATGGTAATATTGGTCCTCTTACTTACTGTTCCACATGATTTAGGTCCACCGTGAAAAAGCGTGCAAGCCATTCTCACAACTTCTGCTTCCATCTTCCTCACACCTGGGAATACATCTGGATGAAGTGGATTAGCCCATGCAAATTCCTCATAAACCTTGGAAGGGAAAGAGAAATAGTCCCTTGAAGCTATGCTGCCAGCTACCTTCCTTCCTTCTGTAACTCCTTTTCCTTCATAAAGATCTTATTGTCCACTTATTTGTGGGATACAGCAACGTCTTTCCATTTTCAGCTCACAAAGAATTACAGGTATTCCTCGACTTGCAACCACGACGGAGCTCAACATTTCTGCTGCTAAGCGAGACGGTTGTTAAATGAGTTTTGCTCCGTTTTGCAACCTTTTAGTTCCACAGTTATAAGTGAATCATTGCAGTGGTTAAGTTAGTAACATGGTTGTTAATCTGGCTTCCCCAGTGACTTTGCTTGTCAGAACTTCACGAGAGGTGATCACGTGACTCCAGGACACTGCAACAGTCATAAATGAGTCAGTTGCCAAGCATCCGAATTTTGATCACATGACTATGGGGATGCTGCCCTTGTTTATGATGTCCCAAACACTCCTGGGGTGCCGCTTTTAAGAGGACCTTGAATCAAGGAGCAGAAAAACTGAGCTCTCCCTCTCTCTTCACCTTTCACCACTTAAAGAACCAGTTCCCAACGTCTTCCTCTTTAAATTTTTAAAACCCACCAAAATTTTGTTGACGTTATAAGCATATGAAACTGAACCTTAATAAAATAGTCATTTACTGTCATCTGGATCTTTACATCACAATTGTGTCCTCAACTTCCTTTCTCAGATTCTCCCTGCTATTACAAAGCTGAAATAACACACCATTACTTAAGCCCACGATGGCGAACCTATGGCACATGTGCCACAAGTGGCACGCAGAGCCATTTGTGCTGGCACACAAGCTTCAGGCAAACTTACCACACTGTGCATGCCCGCGCCTCACAGCTGATTTTTTTTTGGGGGGGGGGGATGTTGGTTTGAGGCCCTTTTTGACCTCCCAGAGGTTTGGAAAAAGCCTCTGCAAGGCTTCTCAGACCAAATCATAGGCCCGTTTCATCACTTCCTGTAATACCGGAAGTGACAAAACGGGCCTATAATTCGGCTTGAGAAGCCTTGCGGAGGCTTTTTCGAAGCCTCTGGAAGGCCGAAAAAGACCTCAACCCAACCGAAAAATCAGCTGTGAGGTTCAGTGCAGGTAAGGAGAAGGGGGTGGGGATTGCGCGGGCATGCGCAGGGGACATGGGGAAGGGGGCGCACATTGCATTCTGGGTGCGGGCACGCGAGTACGGGCGTGCCGGCACGCTCGCAAATTTTGGGCACAGGAGGCCAAAAAGGTTAGCCACCACTGACCGTGATGACCTGTTGTCTCTCAAAATAACCCAAAACCCAAAACATATATTAAAGTCCAGTAAGGCCTTCAACTTAACTTCACTGTTTTATTAGGCACAGTTTAAAGTCACAAAAGTAAATAATGAGGCAAACAGAAAACCAAAACAAACCACATTGATGAGAGTTCCGAAGCAAGCCAAGATAACTAATCATAAACTCCAGGAAAATAACCGAGAAAAGTCCATGGGAAGAACGCCAGCAAAGATAAACCTCTTTCAAGGTGAACACTAAATTGACTCCTGCAAATTCTAACTGCGCAGTTGCAAACTTATATACATGGCTCCCAGCTGCAAGCCGCAAGGAGGATCATGATAATCTCCTCTTGAGTAGCCCTCGCTTTTCCCTTATCCTCTCCTCCCTGCGTGCCCTAGGATGAATAGGGGATGGGCCTGGGTCCTCCTCTGACTGCTCAGCCGGCCTCTGCCCTTCCCCAGCCTCCACCACCACCTCTGGAGCCACACTCCCACTCCCTGTTGGCTGTTCCTCCTCTTCCTCAGAGTCAGCCTCCGCCAGGGGCATGACACTGACTTAAGCATTTTGGGATGAGGAAAAACTGCAGTCCTTCAATGATTAAGACACCAACACTCATCAGATGCGGTTGATGGAATCCAACAACATATGGAGGGTGGTAGCTCCTTACCCCTAACCCTTGATTTTATGCACAGATCATTATTTTAAGGAACCCGAAGATATGAAACATTAATCTAAAAAATGTAAATGGCACAAAAATATATGAAGGTCCCTTTCTAGTTATCATACTGCTTTTCAGGATGAGGGAAAGGTGGGTTTTTTTTGGTATCCTACACCTACTTCAAATAAGAGAATACAGTTTGTACTCGTATGTCACTAAAGATATGTGGCCCCTCCCCTGCACCTCATTTTTGCCCGCCATGGCCTCCTGCAGCACTCAGTTGGCCGAAAACGGGCTGTGTGGCCCCCTTTCAGCCCTGTTTTGGACCATTTATGGCCTGGTTTTGGGCCCAGTTTCAGCCAGCAGAGTGCTACAGGAGGCCGTGGAGGGTGAAAATGAGGCATGGGCAGGCTGCAAGCGGCCTGTTTTAGCCGCCAGAGGCGCCGCAGGCCGGTACCCTGATATTTCCAGGCCAGCCCCGTAAGCTGGATTTAAGCACCCCGTGGGCTGGATGTGGCCCCTGGGCTTTGAGTTTGACACCCATCAGGTGTCGAACTCAAACTTATATCAGATAAGCCATCAAGTTATTGGATTCAACCAATCAATCTCATCTGGAATTGCACTGCTACAGTTTTTTAATTATACACAAGGCAATTACATAAGGCAATTCTCCAAGAGTTTCATGATATATTACCTTAACGAGCAGGTTAACGAGTTTCTCATCCCCACTGTACACTGTCCCAGATACTTTGCGGTCCTCCCAATGTACTTTACCTAAAAATACACAGGGAAAAATGTTGACTCATTACATGAAAGCTCTTTTGGAAAACTCTTTTGGAAATTATTTCTGGTTCACATTATCTTAGTTTGTAAGGACCAGTCAGTCTGCCATGCAAGCGAAGTAAATGGGGAAGCTGGGTTCACTTAATAATGGTGACCAGAAATGTCATAAAGTGGGGCAAAGCTCACTTAACAACAGAAATTTTGGGCTCAGTTGTGGTCATTGAGGATTACCTGTATAGCACCTGGGATTACCTGGCACAGAAGGCCCAGCCATATTTAGACCTGGAAGTTGGAATTCACAACTTTAGGAGTAAATTTCTGCAGGACACACCTAACAGCTACATCTTCAGCATGAAACTAAACAGGGTTATTTTTAACAATTGGAATTGGGGAAAGGAAAGGTAATCCATTTTTACATTCTGGGGGGCTTAAAACAATGAGAGACCATGTTTAGAGAAGGTATCAGACACAACTAAAGATTTATCCAACCAAGGAGATTTATTATAAGTTGGGAGAATCAGAGATGGTAGTCAATGGCACAATGGAAGCAGATCAGATCTTAAATTTTTTGACCTCTGTGATGACCCGGGGCATGGCACAAAAGCAACAAAGTCACAAAAGTAAATAAAGTCCCTTTAATTCCTCCAACTTGGCCCCCAATGTCCTGTTATCATTGGCTGGAGAAAAAAACTCTCCCAAGAACAGTTTTTAAAGAGAAGAAATTCAGTCCGAACCCAAAGTACATATAAATTATAGATAAAAGCCAACATAATCCACGCTCCAGCAATTAACGAGACAGGGCAGGATAAGGAATTGCAGACTTCAAAAGATAACAAAACATACACAGTTGGCAGGATGCCAGAACCCAGATAAGACTTTGACAAAGATAATGTACACTTTGCTACCATCAAGGTGCTTTGCGCGAACACCCTTTTGAGATCCTGTTTTCCCAGCTGCAGCTAATGAAGGGAATCAGGGCCCTTTTCTCCCCCATAACCCCTGTAACTCATGTTGCTCCCTTATCCTACGTGCCCTAGGATGAAGAGGGGGTGGGCCTGGGTCTTCCTCTGAATGCCCAGCCGGCTGTGCCCTTCCCCAGTTTCCTCCACAGCCACCGGAGCCACACTCCCAACTCCCTGTGAGCTGCTCGACCTCCCCCTCGGAATCAGATTCCAACAGAGGCATGACATCCTCTTTAAAGGCCTCTATATCGATTATTAGATAACACCATATCTTTCCTCATATTCAGCTCTATAGTCATAGGATTGGCTAAGGAACATATTTTTTCACATTCCAGTAGATCCCCAAAATCATACCCGAAGTGCTGTACTCTTTCAACTTCTTTAACAATTCTGGCTGGCTGAGACCAGTTGCCGGCAGGCTCGTGAGGTAATTTTTCTGGTCTTGCAAAAATGGCAATTTGGCAGACATCTCATCCAAAGTCTTGGATATCTGTTGCTGGATCTATAAATGGCAAAGAGCACATATAAAACTACTAATAAAGTGGATATTTTTAAATTAAAAGCACCCTTTAGCTGCAGATCTTTTGTTAAAAATAACAATTCTAAGGCTTGCTTGCTTTGTTAGCAGATCTGTGGCCTACAAGTCACATAATTCCAAGCTATAATAGCTACTGGCCATCTTGACAGAGATGTATAGGACCTGTAGTCCAGCCGTAGTTCAGGACAGCTTGGAAAAGATTATCTCAATGCATGTATCACTACAGAACATGTATCTCTATAGAACAGAAAGATGTTGAGACTCTAGAAAAAGTACAGAGAAGAGCAACCAGGATGATTAGGGGACTGGGGACTAAAACATATGAAGAATGGTTACAGGAACTGGGCATGGCTGGTCTAATGAAAGACCAGGGGAGACATGATAACAGTGTTCCAATATTTGAGGGAGCGTCATCACTTGAGGCTTTCAAGAAGAGATTGGACTCCCATTTGTCAGAAATGGTGTAGGGTCTCCCGCTTGGGTGGGGGGTTGGACTAGATGACTTACAAGATCCCTTCCAATTCTGATTATCTGTTATCTGTTAACTTGGGATTTTAGCCTTTAGGAATTTTTGTTAAATCTTTATTTAATATAAATGCACTTGCTTTCCTTGATGCTGAAAAGTTTGGTCATTGCAGCAGAAAAATTACATGGGTTACATTACGTTGATTACTACAGATTCAGTAGTTTCTTGCACAAAATTAATCATGAATTTCCCAGATGATTAATTTTGAAAGAAAATTATATTCTGCAGAATTACCTTCCGAGAAACCTTGAGTTATTCTTTTTATCCTTTTTTTCCTATACATTGAATAAATAAAAGTTAAAAAATGCTGATCAATCATTACCACACATAAAAATATGCCATGTAAAATGGAATGGAAATTCTATTGATTGCAGACTTCGACCAACATGGAGTGTGCTTTCTCTTAAATTAGCTGTTCAGAAATTATACCTGGAAAATTATCTGATTTTTTTTAATGTTTCAATGTTGTTTCTGTTGAGTTTCTATGAGCTGGTCCAAATGTAAGTATTAGCAGAAGCAAACCAAGATATTCCTGGCTGTCACTGATTATTCAGATGCATTTCAGGACAAGTCACCACACAGAAAAGAACTATGGTTGCCTTGATGGATGATCTGTTGAAGGGATGCATCAGGGATGTTTCTGCATATTTGCAGTTGTAGTTGTATAGTAGCAATAATAATAGATAGTAGGTAATAGGCACCAGGGTAGAAAGTGTGACACTGGAAGTTTTAGTCCTGCTTTAGCCATGAAAGCCAGGGGAGTGATTTTGAGCCAACTTACTCTCACCCCAACTCACCTCACAGGGCTGTTGTGGGGAAAATAGGAGGAGGAAGAAGTCTTGAATATGTTCACCACCTTCAGTTGTTTTTAAAAACCATAAAAGTGGGATACATATAGAAATAAATAAATAGCATACTAATAGCAGAAATAGTGTAATATACCGTAGCATTGAAATACAAGCAATAGTAGAGTGTAATAGAATAAGAGAACATTGTATATCAATAGTAAGAAATACAGAATTAAAAAATATAGACATTGAAAGACATCACACATATGTTTGTATACTTCACTTTTGCAATTTGGATATTTTTCCAAAATAAAACAACTTCCCAACTTGTAAATAACGTGTAGGGTGGTATAAAAATCCAACTGTCCAGAGCCCAAGTGCTCTCAAGAGATCTCTTGAGCTCAAGTCAATCAAATTGGATATAGTTTTAAAAGATCCAGTTCCAACTTTACATGAATGATATCCAGATATTTTTGTTTTTTTCCATCTTCTCCCAGTGGGCCAGCCTTCATAGTTAGCTTCTGCTTGGTCTGATTGTGCTCAGGATGAGGTATAATAGTCCCAAGCTGAATTCAGGCAGGTCAGAGGAATTTGATTGAAGATAGTACCATCTAATTGGAGGGAGAGTTATCGGCTCTAGATAGGATTGGCCTCCCTCTGAAAAAGCAGATTTGCCTCTTGGGGATGTTTCTTAATTTCACATTATCTCTGAAATTTCAGGTGATTCCTAAGGATGAGCGACATCTTCTTTTAGTTGAATTACATTCCCCTTTCCTGGATAGGACCGCTTTGCCCTCCATGATTCAAACTACAATTGCTTTCCAAAAAGATGACCACAGTCCACTTTCTGTGAGGATGTCACTGAGGGAAACCAGAACATTGCAATGGGTCCAGAATGCTGTGGTCAGGTTTCTGATGGGTATTCCTTGTGATATTTATTCTGGCTCAACTGCACTGATTTCACAATTTTTGAAGACCAAATTTAAATGGATTTAATGCAGATCCCTTTACGGCTTGTGTCTTGTGTACCTAATGGAACGGTTTCCACATTATATCACAAAGGAGGAACTCCATGAATCCTTTATGATGTTATTACTGGTGCCACAAGAAAAGGAGACCTAGATTAAAAACACCTGGCAACACTTTCACTGTGAAATTCCTTATCCTGTGTAGTGCAGACATCACCTTCCCAGGGTGATTTTAAGACATAATCTACAGTATGTTATTGAGCAAGCATTCCTTCTTTGAAACTTGCAATGTTTAAGATTTACCATATTTTTCGGAGTACAAGACACTACACAGTACAAGACGCGCCTAGCTTTGGGGGAGGAAAACAAGAAAAAAAAATCTGCCCCTGCCTCCCAGCAATTTTCCTCCTTGCAGCAAACAACATGTTTCAGCTTCAGCACAGCCAGATTAGCACAAACAGCTGATTGTCGGTTGGATCGGCCTCTCGACGATCAGCTGTTTCAGGCTGCAGGGATTGCCATAGCCTATTGCCGCCTCTGCTCACCCCATTTTCGGCCCGTTCCAGGCAGCGGGGATCAGAACAGGCAGAAAATGGGGTGCGCGGAGGCGGCAATAGGCAATGGCAATCCCTGCAGCCTGAGGCCGATCCAACCAACAATCAGCTGTTCGTGCTAATCAGGCTATGCTGAAGCTGAAACAGGCTGCTTGCTGTTTTCTGCAAGAAGGAAAATTGCTGGGAAGCAGAAGCCAAAGGGTGGGTGTCAGTGGGTGGGCAGGGCTTCGGCAACATTCACTGTATAAGACGCACAGACATATCCACCCACTTTTGGGGGAGGGGGTGGTGGAAAAAGTGCGTCTTATACTCCGAAAAATACGGTATACAGAATAGATATTTTGGAGTTCTCCATTTGTTTTTCACGGCAATTAAGTAATGCTCTCTTATTTTATCTGATTTGATCAACTGACATTTGTTACGTTCAGTGTTTTTCAATATTCAATGGAAGGGGACATCCCATGAGCATGTGATATAAATTCAACAATCCATCGATAAGTAAGTCTCAATCAATAAGCCAGTCTTCTTCTTTTGTCATCTTCTGTATTAAATGTTCAGGGATCTTCAAGGATCCCTCTGAATCATTTACCAATGAAGCAAATCATATGAAGATACAGACGCTTGCTAAGTACTCCATTTTGTTATAATTTTTTTTAAAAAAATGATTGCAGTTGCTAAGTACTTCATTGTTTACTGAGGCTATTAAGGAGAAAGAAAAGAATCAATGGCTAGTTGAATTTTGCTTGGTTTTAAACTGGCTACAAAGTTGTGCTTAAAGTGGAATGCTATCACATTTGAGCTAAGCGCTCAACTGACATATTTTCAATATTGTTATTTTGCTTCATTCAGCACTGACAAATCAACTTAAGTTCAAGCTATTCTCAAAATATCTTTAAATTTATTAAGCAGTTTAAAACTTACAATACGACCAATGATGGGCAGCTTGCGTATAAATCTGAAGAACCATTTTTTAAATCGTGATGTTAAACCTAAGGGGGAAAAAAACAAGATTTTTTTAAGGAAAAGATTATCCAAAAACAACTCTGAGATACACAACATAAAATGTGAAAACTTTCACAGAAAAAAAAAGGAAGGGCAGATTTGTAGGTATCTACAACTCAGGCTTACATTTTAAATCTTTTGTGGATACTATTAAATTAGACTGACAAGAGCAGACAAGAATATTCCACTATCGTGTGAATGACTATGGAGATTCTCAATCATCCAGGTCATGGTTATCCCAAAGGGGATCTTTCCAAGAAGCTTCTTGGATCAGAAGCAAAAAGTCTTCAAAGAAAAACAAGAAAGTCCAGTTGCCTCTTGAAAAAGCACCTTTGGGACTATCGTGTAAACTGATGTGCGGTCCTCTATTTATAACCATTTGTTTAAGCAACCATTCAAAGTTATTGAAAAAACTGACTCATGACCAGTCCTCACACTTGCAGTTTCCCCACAGCCATGGGTCAAAATTCAAGTACTTAGAAACTGGCATTTACTTTCCCCAGTTATATAGCATCTCGGGGTCGCTATGTGTGACCTTCCCAGCTGGCTTCCAATAAGCAAAGTCTATGGGGAAGCTACATTCGCTTAATGACATGATTCTTTTAACAACTGCTGTGATCCAATTAACAACGGAAAACGAGGTTAAATCATGTGGGGCTCACTTAACAAGCCACCTTGCTTAGCAACGGAAATTCGGGTCCCAATTCTGGTCATAGGTTGAGGACTGCCTACAGTACATCCTGTAAGTCTACAAACCCTTCTATCGTTTTTCGAAATAAAAAGCTTTTTTTAAAAAAGATTCTCCAAGAAAATGATACAAGTTTAGGAGTCTCCAAATTTCCATGGCTTAGCCGTGAGATTGAAACAGTTTTAAGGTGATCTCAAGGGAGCTGAAGGCAATTCATGGAATCCGCCATTCATGCTGAAGAACTATGTTACAAAGTGCAAAACTTTTTTTTTTAACTTAAAACAATCAGGTTGGGGCCACTTTCTGATTCTTTTTAATATGTAGCTCCATTATAACCTCTTGGAGCAGAGGGAAATTAACCGAAGACTTCATGTGCTCACATATGTATGTTTGCATTTACATTATCTACCCTGAAAAACTCAATTTACCTAAACAATTCTTTGAAGACTTTCAAATTCCAATTAGCAGAAAGAAACTACACAGCAATGGGACAATTAACTCATTTTTTTAAAAAATAAATAAATAACTGAACATCAGCCACACAAAAGTGAACCAGAGCAGGTATGGAAAATTATTTCTATAAAATGCAACAGCAAAACCAATACACATCCATCCAGATCCTAAATTAATAGGTTGGTTTGCTAAATACTCCCAAAGTACTGCAAAGAAGTCCATGATTTAAATTTTTTAAGCGACAAGCTCACTGTTCTCTTGAGCAATGTTTATTGTGCACTATCAAGCCAGTGTCAACTCTTTAGCACTCACAGATGGATTTTTCGCTTGTTCTACATCTAACCTGATATTTCAGATCTTCTGATGGCGCAGTTGCTGACACTTTCACTGAGTCCATCCTCTTTGTTGTTGGTCATCCTCTTCTTTTTTCTTTCCAACTTTCCCAACATTTCTCCAGAGAGGTAGGTCATCACAAAACGCGCCCAAGGTAAGGTAACTTGAGCTTCCTCATTTGTGCCTCCAGTGAGAACTCTGGATAGATTTGTTCAATGATCAATTGGGGGAGGAGAGGGGCTCTCCACAGTTTACTCAGGCGTCTTCTCCAAAACTGAAGTCCAGAAAGGTCAATATCCTCCCTATGTGGATTCTTCAAACTTTCACTTCCTTAAGTGCCACAGAGACTCCGCTTGCACTGTTCTGATATTTGTAGAAACAGACACATCACATGACCTTAACATTTTTTTCCAAGGTTTTCTTGGCTGCCCTACCCAGTCTTAGTTTGGGTAATTCTTGAACTATTGTTTCTTTGTTATTGATGGTTGGTCCTAAAAAGACAGAAGCTATCTATCACTTTAGTATATTCATTATGACCTTCGGTATCTTCATTATGACCGATTCAAGGTTAATTCATCCTTCTGAGGTCAGTAAAATGAGGACCCAGATTGTTGGGGACAATATGCTGATTCTACAAGCTGCTTAGACTGGGCTATAAAGCACTATGAAGCAGTATATAAGTCTAAGTGCTATTGCTATTATCAGTTAAAGTTGATTGTTATAAAGAAAACCAGACTGACAAGAGGTATATTTAATTTTAATCCCATTTTTTTCACTACACTATTTAACCTTTATTACTAGATGTTGCAAATGATTTGCATTTTCAGCTATAAGAGTTGGTGATCAACATAGCACAGGTTATTGGTGTTTATCCTTTTAATTTCAAAACCACATTCATCATCTTCCAATCCGGTTTTCCTTAATACATATTCAACATATAGCCTGAATAAGTAAGGGGAGAAAATACAGGCTTGTTTCATTCTTTTTGTGTGTGTCTATCTCATGAGGACAATGAGATGAACTTGGATTCCCACAAAGTCTCATGTTTCAGCCTTTTCTGGCCATCGCTTTTTTAACATACGTTGGATGATTCCAAATATCATTTTTGCCAGGACGTAAAATTATGGATATTGTATGGTAGTTTGCATATTCTGTTTAAGGGTGTGTATGAGTGTGTGTATTTGAATGTCAAAGTCTCCCCATATCTTGCCTCCTGTATCATTCCATAGATTTGTTGGCACAGCTTGGTTAGAGAACCTTGACTGGTTCCATGATCTTTAAATCAGTTATTGTCTGCACAGAGTTGACCTTTAGAATTTGAGGTTAGAACTTCCTGAGTTCAGAGATTTTTTCTGAAAGACTTTCCTGGATTATTTTTGCCTATTTCTATCATCGGTGTATTTACAGATGTTGTAATGTAGCTTCTTGCCTTTTCTAAGAGCTCTCTGAAGCTCTTTGTTAAGTTCCTTCTGAAGAATGTTGTCTTCCTAGATTTCAGCTTCTTTTCTCTTCTTGACAATCTTCACGGTTTGCTGTGACATCCAGTTTGCTTTCTTCTGTTTCTTCATCTTTGGCAGTCTCTTTCAAAATTTATCCTTAACCATTTTTTTAAATCCATTCAACAGTTCACCACTTTCTCTATCAATGAGATTTGGGACTTCAAAGCAATATCTGATGTTTTCTTTTTCAATTTTGGCTTAACTTGGACTTTAAACATGAACAGTTTATCTTTCCCACAATCAACATCTGGCCATATCTTGGATGCTATAACTGAGTTCCTCCAGCTCATTTAAGAAGTAATATAGTCAATAGATCAACACACAATATATTTATGCACCTAAAATAATTCAATTTTAGTATAACAAAACAGACAGTACAAATAGTTAATATTTTAAATTATGTCCTTATGTACACTGTTCATGTTAAAGTAAGTATATTTAATCATTACATTGCCTTAACATACAATTTAAAATTTATATCAATGGTTCAAGATACCCAATACGAAGACTGATTTGAATGTTTGGTTGATGGCTTTGTTTCTCCAGAGTAATTGCAAAGAAAAGCTATAACCAGTGGACACAAGTCAATTTCAAGACGTTATTTATAAACATGGGTTATTTTCTCCATCTTTAGTTCAAATTAGGCATATTATAAGGTTTGCAACAGATTAATTGAAAAACCTAAATGGAAGACACACAACTTGAAAACATTTGAGCCCAAAGTATCTCCAAATAGTCACTGAAGAATAATTTGTAGTGTGAGAGAAGGGGAAAAAATAACAAAGAAGACAAAGAACTATTAGACACACACACACACACACACACACACACAGATACACACACCCATACATTCACACACAGAGAGAGAATGCATATACTACCCACTTGCACTGGTGAGATGGATGGCTATATAAATCGGAAGGAAGGAAGGAAGGAAGGAAGGAAGGAAGGAAGGAAGGAAGGACACACTAGTGGAAATAAGTCATGTGTTATTTATAAGTGTGGCTATTTTCACAAGCTGTAATTCAAACTGGGCAAATTATTAGGATACAGCACATCAAAACTGCTGTTAATTGAAAAGGAGGCTGGAGGGAACCCAAAGCTCACCCTCACCTGTTCTGTGCTTCACCTTATAGTCAAATACTAAGAGTAAGTAAATTAATCATTTAAAAATATTTGATGGAAATTTAAATCTCCTTTTCTTTTGACAGCTTAATTTATCTGCTACAATACTTTTTAATTATCCATTTGCAACAAGGGCTAGCAACTTTTTATTTGAAACCAATCTGATCACACTTCAATAAAATATGGTGTGTGTTTGTGTGTGTGTGTCTGAGGACATGTCCATGTGTTCCTCTCTTGCTATTTCGTATCTTTTAATTCTGGGTTTGGATTGCATCAAGGAATTACTGGGGTGCAGAAACCATGCATGCAGATTAAAAATGGTACACTATTGTGATACTCCAAAGCATTGTGAATTGTTAGATTCCCCACATGAAGTAGATGTGACTCTTACTTTCTGACTGGAAAAGAAACATGTGTATCTTCACAATCAGCAAGGTAGCAGCAATTGTTGATGCAATGACTTGCCATGGTTCCATCCCAGAGCATTTTTCATTCACCACATTTCTTGTTTGGTTTAAGTATTGCAGGAAGATATGATGGTATACAGTAAGAGTATCCTGGAGAAGAGAACAGACAGACCACAAAACAGAATGAAAACAAATGTCAATGAATAAACTTACATGTTCAATTTTTGGGACAATATTTTTATCTGATTTCCCATGACAGGTTAAAAACAAAAGACTGCACAAAAAAAGAAGGCGATCTGGTAAGAGTAACAATTTGTCCTAGACAAAAGCCACTTCAAACAAATGAAGCTCTCACATCACTGGGGAGTTTCTGAGGAACTTAAATACCTTAAGTATTTTGGTTCCAAACTATTAATTAAAGCTTTTGTGGAGTCAGAATTGCAAGAAAAGCCTACAAAGCTTTAAGAATATTTGTATCACATCCAGAAGTGGTATTCAGCAGGTTCTGGCCAGTCCTGGAGAACCAGTAGTGGAAATTTTGAGTAGTTCAGAGAATCAGCAAATACCACCTCTGACTGGCCCCACCAACCCCATCTATTCTCTGCCTCCCAAGTCCCAGCTGATCGGCTGGGTCTTCTTTTGTTGCCCTGAACAGGAGAACGGAGCTGGAAAGCAGGTTAGTGGGGTAGGGAGAGAATGGGGATTTTACAGTAACCTTCCCCTGCCACGCCCACCAAGCCACGCCCCCAGAACCAGTAAGTAAAAAAAAATGGAATCCCACCACTGATCACATCCCTTTGAAAGAAATTTCATAATGGAAAATATGCTTTCTTTTGCCTTTATAAAGTAAGGCCCTTAAGTAAAACTTAACTTGACAAAATAAGTTGAGTCTTCTAGTGTCAAAATACAATTTATTGTTCAAACCCCAACTCCGAGAGTGGGCACTCCTTCTACTTCCCCTCTTTTAACCTAATTTTCTCTCAATCAGTCTCGTAATGATTTTTATTGATGAGAAGCCCAGGTGACTTTGTCAAAGGTTTCTAGCGTCACCAAGTCAGAACTCAAGCAGGTTTGTAGGTCTGGCTTAGGTTTTGCAGTACTGTGATCAGCCTTAGTGTCATGCTCCCGTCGCAGCCTGAATCTGTAGAGGATGATGAGCCCGCTGAGATCGAGGGGGCCACTTCGTTGGCTTCGGAGGAATGTGGGGAAGAACAGGCCGAGGCAGCCCAGGACCCCTCAGGATTGGGACGGCTTGTCAGTAGGGAGGAATGGGGGCAGGATGACCGAGACAGGGTGAGCAGTGGACATGAGGAGCAATGGAGCTCAGATGATGAGCAAGGATCGGCCCCTCCTGATCCCTGAGCATGGAGAGTGGAGAGAAGGTGAGAACAGCGCAGGCCGACATGACTCAGGAGAGCGCCCCGCTCCTCTTCACAAGGCACCCCTGGGGACTGAGTTTTAAAGAGATACTGTGGGGAGGAGCGTTTGTTGGGAATTGGTACAGTTTGGTGTGCCAGTAGACATTTGGCGTTTGCAGGACTGCTTGCTTCTTCCTGACTTAGTGGACTCAATGCCTTATTCCTGACTACGTGGATTCGGTACCTTGTTCCCTACATTGTGGATTCATTGTTTGTTCCTTGGTACATGGACTCATTCTTCTGTTCTTGTTTCGCTGGACTGGGCACAGCCAGAGGGGTGCACGTATGCTTTGCTCTGGGACTTGTCAAAAACATGGGAATGTTTGGGGGGAAATTTGCAGCATTAAAAGGGAGTTTGAACTCTCAGCTGGCTGTGTGACCTTTGTGTCATCTCGGGTCATCACAATTAGCAATTAACCAGGTATCTTATGCAAGTCAACATGAAGGCTTGTCTTCAATAATTCATTCTTGCCATGTTGCTTCCTGAAGGACACAATGGCACTTAATCTGAAGTCTCCATACAATCCTCATGACAAATGGCCATTAGCAGGTCTGTCCTCCTTCGGTGCACTGGTCAGGCTCCCTAAAGTGCTTGTCCATCGAGTATAACCAGGGAAAAAATGGAACTAGCTGAAGTCTTTAGCTAAAGAATCCTCAAGGGAATACCTTAATACAGTGTTTTTCAACGTTAGCAACTTTAAGACATGCAGATTTCAACTCCCAGAATTCTCCTGCCAGCATATTGGAGCATTAGGAGCTGTGGTGGCACAGTTTTTAGAATGCAGTTTTGCAGGCTAACTCTGCCCACAGCCAGGAGTTCGATCCTGACCGACTCAAGGTTGACTCAGCCTTCCATTTTTCTGAGATCGGAAAAAGATTATTGAGGATAATATGCTGACGTTGTAAACTGCTTATAGAGAGTGCTCTGTAAAGCACTATGGAGCGATATTTAAGTCTAAGTGCTATTTTATAATATTTACATTCATTCATCTAAGTGCTATTGCTAGATTGGAATTATGGGAGTTGCAGTCCAAAGCGGCTGAGGTTGAGAAACACTGCCTTAATAAATAGGACTATAAAATCAAAAGCAGCTCATTGGAGCATCAGAAAATAGATGTATTTATCAAAGTGCCCTCTCCTCAATACAAAAGGTACAATAAAACTATTAGCGAGATAAGCAAAAGTTGTACCATTCAGCTAAAGATAAACTTAAAAGTTACAATATAGTTAAAAGTAATGTCTTCTTCAAGTTTAACTTACTCTCTGATAAGTTCAAGGATACTATATACCCATCCATGTAATTTTCTTGTCAATATGAAAGTAGTTTAACGTGTCTTTGTTTAGGATGTATTTGCGGGAACCAAACAGTCTTGGATTAGAGTTGAAATGAATAGGGAGATCGTATCAGCTCCCTTGAAAAGGACTTTGACTGGGGTGTTGCCATTTAAAAGATTCCTTGGGCACTCATCAACCTAGCCTCTTTAGATATGAAATATTTGCAAAGATTTCCAATTATGATTGCCAAATGGAGGTACAGTCTCTACAAAGCAATTCCTTGCATTGGTTCTCTTTGAAAAGCTGGTTTGAGGATTTCAAACCCTTGAATAATTCATCGTACCTGAAAACAAGCTTTGAAAGCATCGGAGGGCATTAAATCATCAATTTTATTATGTTCCTGATTTAAGTGCTACCTGGCACAAGCCTCTGGAAAATACTAAATAGACTACAACTTTCCCTCAACTGGGTAACTTTCTAGACATATGTAAGTACAAGCCAACATAGCTGAAAATGATAAAGACAGAGCCACAATACATTTGGAAGGCAGATAGTTTTTATTTGTGAGAATATAAGCAGGCTATCAAAATGTGTAGTCTGTCACCAAAATGAGCATTAATCCAAACTAAACAGCCTTGATGTTCTTTGCAGAAAGTGGCTGCATCATCCCTCCAACTTTTTTTTACATTTGAAGCTGTATAAGAATGAACTTTTTCCCAAGGAAATATACCTCCAGTTATTATAAATGCTGTACACAATGACTTTAATCCAAATAATATCGATATGCGATGCAAGATGTTTTGCACGATGACCTTCAGATCCAACACAATTTAGTTTCTGGCTTACCCTGTAACCAAAATGAAACCAATGCTCTACTGCAAGAACTGTGCTAAATAGAAAATTATTTTCAAGATCATCTTAAGGACATCATGAGCTACAATAAAAGCAGATCCATCATTTTCTATTTCTGTAGCTTTATGATTATACAGTATTCCCCAAGTGTTGTCAATGAAGTCTGCTTTATCCAACTCTCAGGAAAGCTTTGCTCCAGAAACAAGCATTAGTGTTGGTGCATTCTATTCTTCAAACCTGTTCTTCAACTTCTAGCTGACTTAAGCTCATTTTAGAGCAGGTCTTCCCAAGGTGTGGCGTTTTCCTTTAATTGGGATCCGCAGAAGAAAATGCATAAACAACTTTTTCCAAATGCATGCTCTTCAAATATGTTGAATGAGGATTTGCATCATTTCCACACAACCTGGCCAGCACTTGAGAATGACAGGAACTATAATACAATGCATCTAGAACAGGGGTTCCCAACCTGGGGGTGCGAGACGATATTCCTGGGGGTGCAAGAAAAGTCCAGGTAAATAATAGGATATTGGCTATATGTTGGCATTTTTATTTATTATTTATTTCAGGGGGTGCAAGGTTCGAGGGAAATTTCTTTAGGGGTGCGGGGCAAAGAAAAGGTTGGGAACCACTGATCCAGAACAAGGGTGTCAAACTTGTGGGTTGCCCTGGAAACAGTGAGGGACACAGTACCTCTGCCAGCAAAAATGGAGCTGGTACAAAGATCCTGCCTGATAGAAAGGGCAGCCAGTTCTGACACCCTTCTGGCCGAAGTGAAAGAAAGGAGGAAAACTACGTTTAGAGTTAGGAATTGGAGAGACACTGTTCTAAGGGGTTCAAAGGGGAGCCCCAACCCAGAAGGCTGGCATCTGTGGTGATTACTAGCCTGTCTGGTTCCTTGAATTGGAGCCCCTTCCAGAGGGACAGGGAGAGCCACCAATTGAGGGACCGCTGGGCCTGTTGAGAGACCAGGACCTTGATTGAAGAGTGGCTGGTTCCTGCTCGTTGAAAGGGGAGCAGGAACCACTGGAGCAATCAGGAGTGAAGCCGTGCCCATGGGATGATGCCAATACAGGAGACCATCTTCCCCAGTAGACTGGACAGCAGCGACGGTGGAACAGTCTATTGTTGTTGAATCTGGATGATGTTCTCTGCAAGGCTTTTTCCATGATCTGGAGACAGGAAAACCTGCACAAAGTTGTGTCGATGACTGCTCCCCAGTGTAGCCGTTTGGTCGTGGGCGAGAGATGGCTCTTCTTGGTGTTGATGGAAAACCCGTGGCTTTGGAGGCGAGACAGGGTAATTTGTAAGTTCCGATGGGCCAAGTGGAGGGAGGAAGACAGCATCAACATGTCACCAAATAGCATTGGATCCTCACTGAAACAGAACAGAGTGAAGCCACCAATGCTGCTAGAATCTTTGTGAAGACCCTTGGAGCCGATGAGAGGCCAAAGGAAAGGGCTCGATACTTGAAGTGGGCATTCTGGTAACAGAAACAGAGAAACTGGCGATAATGAGGCCAGATGGGGATGTGGAGGTAAGCCTCCATGAGATCAATGGAAGATAGGTCACCTTTCTGAATGCTCTCTAAGATAGAATGCAGCGTCT